CCCCCCGGCTACCGGCGTCTCTCTTTTTCTTCTATTTCCAATTAGTTACCGAGACAAGACACCGATTGATTGTTTTACAAGTACTGCAGTGTTGTGACACGGGTTCTTGACTGCGAGGTACGGATACTGTACGTGGAACGAATCAGCCTCGGCTGGTAATCTTCTGCTTCTGCTTGTGTCACCGAGCGCGAGTCTGTAGCTGGGCCTGTGAAATCCTTATTGATTGTAGTGAGTGGCATGTTAAATCAGTCTCTATTAGCCCATCTTTGAATCTAGACCTGTTCCGCATCGCGTGATGCCTGCTGTACCTTATCTTTTCAGATCTTGTCGTTGGTGTATGTATTCTTTTTCGTTTCTGAGGGCAACCAACAAATATCACCTGAGACTTGCTTGGCCACAAACATTTGCTCTACTATCTGTAGGTAATAAGGTACTCTGACGGTTGTGAAACGGGCGACATTCAAACGCCTCCAGGGCAAGGATCTCTATCACCAAAAACTTAGCCGCCATCCAACATCTCTTTTCCCTCTCATTATGACGAAGCACTTTTTATTCTCCCTTCCTGACTCTCGACTCTGTCGCTTTGACTTTCCAAGCGCCGGAATCAGCCATCCGTAGTCCTCCCTCCCGTCATCGTCATCATAGTAGGCCTAGTAGCTGAATCATTGCGTGTCAAGGTCCCCCCCCCTGAAAGTCAATTAACGAGCTACCATTCATTCATTGCCCAAGCGCCAAAATCAAGGTCGGACTTTGTTTCAACTGTGAAAAAAAAAAAAAAAAGTTTGTATTTTTGGGTGGAAGCCATCAGAAGCTTTTAGGCAACATTTTCCTGACTCGTCTCTGTCGTAAATATCAATGCCCGCCCCTTGTCCAAGGCTTGTTGTCATAATTTCGCACGAGGCGCGTTTATGCTAAATTGCCCACGGTCGGGTACCTACTGTGCTAGGCAGACTAGGTAGGTAGAGTATTAACCCAACAACGATGCTTCAACCTTGTAGCACTTACAGTGACATCCAATCCATTAATTACATTTTTAATTAACGTGTTAATTACACATTCTACTCTGAGTACTCTCCTTCCCGATGGATTACATTGGTACAACTCTATCCGTAGAATGGGCTGTCTCTTCGTATTCAATCCATTCATTAAGTTCTCTAGATTCTAGAGTATTGACCATTCATTCCCTCCCTGAGTCCCTACCTTGCCTTAGTACCATTCTAAAACGTAGCCATCCATCACATTCCAGCCCAACCCAAGTAAAGTTCTAACATAAGGGATAGGTAGATGGATAGAGCTACTGGGCACTTTGTACGCGCGCTTCACCCCAACCAATCTCTTCTGTAATAAGCACGTAGTTGATACGAAAAGAAAGTAATTGTCTGATCACTGTCAACAACAATGTGCATACGTAACTACCTACTACTGCGTACGGATACGTCCCCCAAGTTCTCGGGATCTTCCAACTTCTCCCCGGTTCGTCATCCACTACCTGCTCGTCACACAAACTACGGCTTCGAGCATACCTCAGGTAGCAAACAGTCTCTCAACCAAGTGATTTACGTCTTCTCCTCCTCGCCTCGACGTTCCCAAACGAGGTAAACGCAGCGAGTATACGATAACTCACTCACCAACGGTTATCTTACTTAGTCCAATGCTCAAAATAGATTTCTTGCGATACCAACAAGTCAAGTCAGTCACATCACATGTTGCATTCGAGGCCAATGATAGTTATTGAATATTTCCATTATTTGTATTTCTCACCTCGTAGTCTCCGTGCGCTGTGTAGCTAAAAGTCTTCCGTCTTATAAAATAATACTATACAGTCTAGAGGCTTCGAGGGGGAAGCGCGTAGTAGGGGGTATCTTCTATCAATCCTGAGTCCAGCCCAAGTGCTCTCTCAACACGGCCAGAGCATCGTATCGCTTTCCTCTTCCCCCTCCTCAATCCTCTTCCAATAGTCTTGCCATGTCTTGTACACCAATACAGAAATAGTACACGGGAATACAGCAACATTTCCCTCTCCTGTTGGTCCTCCCGCGAGGGAGCCCAAACCAAAACAGCGATCGTATCCAGTAATAATAGAAAGTAACAGTAGAAAAAAGAAAAAGAAACGAGAGAAGCTGGCCAGATGGAAAACTGTGCAAGCAAGGTGGGAACCAAGAGTAAACGTCGAAAACAAGAAAAAGCAAAAAGGTAAACAAAGTCCCCAAGTCTATATGCAAAATGAACATCTTTTCCCATCCAGTTCCCAGTTTTTGTGATCCCTATCCGAAACCCTCGCTCAAATTAAACTCCAAAATATGTCCTCGTAGCATTCGATCTTCTTGGCTCCGTTGTCAGGTCTTCCTTGTCGTTTGTTGTTGTCTCTGCTTGGTTTCGGTCATCTGCCTCTTCTCCAAGTATGCTCGTCAACCCTTGTCGTGCTGTGCTGTGCTGTGCTGTGCTGGAGGCGATCTGAGACATTCCCATCCCAGCCAGATCTGCATTCCGACTCAGAACGCCCTGACGTGAGTGGGCGCCGTAGGTTCAGATTGGTAGTCGAGGGAGACTGTGGATACCGGAGGAGACGACTCGAGACCTGAGCCGACTAGGACGCTGCTGTGAAGATGAAACCCGAAGACAAGAAAATAAAACAAATCCCGTTTTTTTGGTTCCCGTCTATGTTCAAACGCCGCGTTGCTGAGCCCAATATGATAAAAACAAACTTCGCGTCGCCACGAATCAAGTGTGAAAAAAGTAAGAAAATCGGCACTCATTCAAATCAATGAGTGCATTCGTTCCCAAGAAAAAAGCCCTTCCCTTGAAATTTCCGCTTGCTGCTGGGAAGCAAGGGATGGCTCCGAGCCGTTGTGTATATGGTTTTCGACAGGAATGTGTATTAAAAAGTGTATTCGGAACGCATTAAGAGCCGGGAGTCATTCGGCTCCATGGCTGCTGAAAGTGATTAAAATGATGTCGTAATTAGAAAAGTCGCTTAGAGTCGAAGGGAAGACAGGCGGAAGAGTGAGAAGTGCGCGTCTGTAACAGTACAGTCGCAGTGTCGTGTCATCGCCGGACAGGCCTAACCGCCAGCGTGGCCCGGCTTTGGCGTGGTCGTCAGTCGCATTAGGTTGGGATACAGGTAGAGTTTATCCAACAATCCAAGCGAGATGGCCTCTTATGAAGGTCTGGGGCGGGGCGGGGGCTTGGGGCAGCCGGTTGTGTCGTAGGCTCCTCGGCCCATGTTAGAGGGTGTTGATGATCCTTCAATCATGTTGTCTGTTGTTGCGAGAATGTGTAAATGAGTGAGTTGTTGTTGCTTTTCAGATTGCTGCTGTGTTGCTGGTCAGTCATGCTGTGGGGGTGAATGGGGTGTGCAATGTGTATATGAAAAGGCGAAAGGGCTGTGGAAGTATATATAGGACAATGGAATGAAGAGAGGCAGACTGTTATTGGTATCTCAAAGGAAGACCAAGACAGACACCAGCGCGAAGACTTTGAAGTGATTTTGGTAAGCGATTTTGACTTACAAGGAATAATCGCTTTGGTGCGACAGAGTGTACAAAGGGTATTGAGCGATTGCGAGCGCAGATTGGCTAAAAGATTGAAGCGAAAGAGAAACAGAAAGCCGAATGGTATTCAAGATGCGAGCGTCACCAATATAATTGGAGCGTGTTTCGGACAGGTAAAGGAGTGGTGGTAGGTGATGGTTGAGTTTGGCGAGAGACGTCGGCACCAGAACGTTGGAATAGGCAACACGAGCGAGAGATGATGTCGCAGACGTATTGGTATTGTATTGTAGATGAACGAAGGGCGGACAGGTGCGTCTCTTGAGTGAGTGAGAGAAAGGGGGCTCGTTACCGGTGGATGTGAGAGAAAGTTATGCTTTTTGCGCAACAGCCCAAATAAGTAACAAGATCCAATAAGGGGAAACCTTTTTTTTTATTTGGGGTGACTCGAGCTTTGCTTTCTGTCAAGGGGGATGGGATGTATGGGGATGGGGATGGACGGATCGTTGCCGTAATACGGTAGCGTAGCGTAGCTTTCTCAGCTCGTAGTTGAGTTCAGGCACAAGGCACGCTGCAGTGGCGCCGGTCGGATGGTCGAATGAGTGTGGGTCAGACGAACGGGGCCGAATATTACGAAGGGGGTGTAACTAAGTAGGTAGGTATTTCCCTTCCTTTGCTGGTCCTGGCCTGGCCTGGGCTAGGTAGTTCGAGACTTTAGACTTGCTTCCAAGAGGTGATGTGACCTGATGGATGAGGCAAGGCGAGATGATGTTGCGGATGATTGAGTGAGTGTCCAGTTGTCAAGTTAGGCTAGTTTTATAACTAGTCGTCAAAGTCGTCGATATCGTTCGCTTAATTGTGAGTTATAAGCGTGTGTGTATGTGTAAGTGATTCACTCTCAGAGATGTAGAAGATGATCGAGCAGGAGGACACAAGTCTTGAGCTGACGAAGTGGGCGGCTGAGAGGACTTAAAAGGGAGTTTGTTCCAAAGGGAGACGTGAAGTGAAGTTCTGAATGGAGGAACCAAGTGCGAAGCAAGATGCTTTTGTACGGAGCACACCCGTCGGAGGAAGAAGCAATAGGGAAAATCTCAATACTCATCTATGACAAGGTGAGGCTTGCAGCGTAAAGCCAGACCAGGCAAGGGGTGTCCTCAATGTGCCGTTCAGTCAGTCAGTCAGTCAGTCAGTCAGTCAAATCAATCATTATTACCTGAGAATGAACCTCATCAAAAATTGCTGTGAAATTTCCCTAGTGGCCCACGCTCCAGGGGGCCAGGGGGGCGTACCAGAAGGGGGTGACAAAAAGCCATGAGCCACGTCCCCATCGTTCCAAAGCAAAAAAAGGAGGGAACAGAGCGATACCTGGCTGGACCATGTTTCATGGCTCTGCGTCCAGGGCCTGTGCATGTCTCGAGGGATCCGTCCATGGCTGATTAGGGTCAAAGAGAGAGCTCGGGCTTCCAAAACTCAGGGCGCGCTTCTCTCAACCTTCTCTCGCTTGCTATCAGCATGGGTTCTACCAGTAGTCCTTTCGGCATCCAGGGCCTTGCTCCCCAAGAAGCGCTGATCCGACCAGCACTCACCCATGTATTGGGCATGCATATTTCATGTACGGCACCCTCTGTACCTTGCAGTGTACATTCACTTGACAGCGACATTGACTCTCATTCTCGCCTCTCTAGGACACCCAGGCCACCGGGTCGCAGGGGGTCGGAAGCCGCTGGGATCTGCCTTTTGCTGCAAGGCGCGCAATGTCTCCGGGTGGTTGGAAAAGCGTCGCAACTTAGCCATGACCTCTCAGACCGTTTTCTCACACCCCAACTACAATGCGCTCACCACACCCCCAGATCCTCTTGTCCATCCCTTGGCAGGCACCCACATCCATCTTGCAGTAAACAGTGCTCTCCTTCTGTAACTGGGCACGTTAGAGCGTTAGCTTGTTGGTCGTGATGTTGACAGCCCGTTAGAGTCCGCTTCGAACCTAGGGCACAAAAAATTGGGTGTCTGTAACCCATGTTTGTTGCTTTATGTATAGCTCCCAGTAAACCATTTTCATCCAACGTCTTTTGCTAGGCAAGGCAGGTAGCCACGCGCACGCTGAAGTGGACGGGTAAGCCCTTCAAGGCATCGATGGTTTCCCGGCGCCCCGTAGTGGATCCGAAACTGGCCCCAATGCTATGCCCTTGGCTGTAAGGACAATCCACGACGGTGGTAATTGGGAGGAGATGCGACTGGCGTCAAGCTCAGCGTCAAAACGGTACTCCGGGCCGTGTTTCTGCACTGTGTATTACAGTCTTGCTAAATCATGGGGTACCTCTTCTAGTCAGGAACGAAGTTGTCGAATCGGCCTCCTCTTCCATGACATGGCCAGGGTCCTCCATTCTCTCGGTTCCCCCAGTACCCTTTCGTCGTAGCTCCAGACCCCGGCTTGATTGTTCCAGCAATTGCCATCCTGCCTGTTTGATTTCCTGTTGCAACCTGATGTTTGACTTGTTTCTTGTCCCTGCTTTCCTTCTGAGACAGTTAGACTCTGCGTCGTAGGGGCTACGGGAGTAAATTGTTGTAGACATGACACCAGTTGCATCGGACACCCTATTTCTTGACTTCTGTAATCTTTTGTAGGCTTCTGGTGCTTATAGAAGCGCCTCCGATAGAAGTTGATGGCCCTTTGAACAAGAAGGTCTTCATATCTCACACGCTCAGTGTCTCATCCTGTTGCGGCATATTAAAGCAATATCAGAACGCAGCAACATAATGCGTCAATGAGACCAATGACATCTTTAGGAGCGCTTAATTCTTCGACTCAGAAGTCATTTCATGAAGGAGTAGATAACTGGATCTCAGTATCGCAAACTCCTCATGAGAGCTAAAGTATCGTCGATGCGTATTGATAAATATCTTGTCAGATTGTACTAGGGGCGGCTCAGCTGGCTCTCTGATCACTGCCTGCTTTTCGAAGAATCTCAAGTCCTATGACATAGAATCCAGAGCTATAAATAGCCCACGCATGTTATGAGTGAATCCCATCACTGCATGTGAAACTACACTGAGGCCTTCCCACCCTTCTCGTTTGTTTCCGTGTATTGGCAATGATTCTTGTGACAGCTGTCATTTGGCAAAATGAAGTGGTCCTTACCTACAGAGTATATGACAGGGAGACCTGATCTCGAACCATGCGTGATCCAGAATTAGCGACTGACGATTGATTGATGGGCTTAGTCGTAGCCATGTGGTTCCGAAAGGGTGAGTTTCCATACCGGCCGGCTACCGAGCTTGAGTTTAGTTACCAGAGGACAAATTGTCATTAAGGCTATGTTCCTAGTTTAGTATGTGGTCGTCTTGGGTACCCAAGCTCTCGCAGGTTTCTTGCTTACGTGCGGAAAGCGCATAGTAGTTCAGAAACAAACAAAAACGGGAACGGTTGTCGTTAGAGTAGCCTCCTTGAGCCAGAACAGTTTATTGTCCTGTAAGATGGAAGTTCCTCAGCCCAAGGGCACTGCCGCTTCTCAAGCTCAAAATCATGCCGCCCCGCTATGATATCGGATGCCAATCCCAAGGACACGGAACCGCTGGGGCATCTCAGCTGACCAGTATCTTGGTTGAGCCTTGGGCTATCTGTGGCAACAGTGAACGTTGCACAGTGGTGGTACACACATAAGGTATGGATTAGAGACGCTCTGGTGAGTAACCATGACAGTATCTCTTGTTTGCCTCTGGGAATCCCAGTCTTGTGTTCGTTTGCGAAATTATCAAGAAAAAATTGAGCACAAAGGTAATAAAACTGTTTCACATTCAGCTGTTGCCAAATGAGACGTCGTAAAGTGCTTGAATCCATCTTTAGGAAACCCATGTGTCACGAGAAGCCCTATCCATGCGTGCTGTACTTAATACAACGGAAGTATTGCCGGGCTCGCCTAACAATGGGTCAACGTCTCTTAGATTGGCAGGTCGATGTTGTATGCCATATCACCGCAATTCGCCGAGAAGCCGTGTAAAGAATCGCCAGGCTCTTTATCAACAACTAACGATGAAGGTTTCGGTTTTTACAGCCGCAAGAAAGTAATCACGAGTATTGCGAAGCGTGTCGTGGGTTTTGTTGCAGCTCAATGTCGGGGAACTTGCTTTAGACACCTGCGATGAACTTCTGGAATGTCACACCTATAATTCTTGCGGCGATTTGTTTGAAGTCAAAGTGGGCCGATGGGGCTTTGTAGAAAGCTTCCAGAAGCCTGTCAACCAACGGAACTCCACAGCACAAAGCTATGCACTATTCTTTCCCACGGTGTCAACGGCGACATGCGGCGACTTAAGGCGTGTGATTTCTTGCAATATCTCCCATCAGTGGACTCTTTTGTAACCTAGGTCCACCTGACCGGGCAATTTTGTAAGCGTCCTCCTGTGGAGAGGTTGGTGGATTGGGATGAACTGCCAACTCCCGTGCTGCAAGTTCAGGGGTATCGCTGCACACATCCGAGTTAGCGTGACCAGCTACACGTTGTGGCGGTTTGCGCATTGCGGTAGCGCCGCATAGAAGCCCCAGAACTTCGATGTTCCTGCATTAGCCAAATTCCAAACGCCATTGACATTTGAAACAGGGGTCGTTTACTCCGTTCTGCTAAGCATCCCTATGGCGCATCACCAAGGATGATGGCCTTTCCCAATATCAGATTGTCCCAGTCGATCGGTTTGGGTAGGTACTCCCAAGCCGGACAAGGTATACTGCATGAATTTGAGGTGCTTTTGCATATCATGTGACAATTCCGGCCTGCAAATGTCAGCTGAAAGGATTCTGACCAACACTGGCAAAGCCCTCCACTCACCGTGTGGCCTCTCGATGCCTTCCTCTTAGATATCTTTGGAGCGAACAAATATCATGCGACGTAGGCAACCCGCCTGGTTTGAGATGAGCCCAGTTTCCGGTCCTTTTTTTTATCCGCCCCAGATTCGTTAAAGCAACCCTGGCTCAGGAGCTTGTTTGCCATATGTACCACTTTGTACAAATGATGATGAGGCGAGACCACCACACATGTATGAACATGACTATCGTGGCTCACGATGAAGCCGTAATCGTATGCTCAGACCAACTCGATGCCACAAGGAATGGTGCTATCGATTCATCCCATCACACTATCGCAACTGGCCTTGTCGAGCACAGCAGCTGCTTGTAGATCGGGCTGCCATGTCCAAGCCAGTGACATTTGGTACCAAACTATTGCAGCTAGCTAAGGGGGGAATGTCACCAGTATCTCAGCGGCTCAGCTTGTTGCTGTTGCTGATACCCAGTACGTACCCGCCGGGGACGAAGAGGAGATTAGGACCCTTCGTGGCCGCAATATGTGTAACAAAGTCCACCTATCGGATTCAAAGGATTTTCGCTTTGAAGACCACGCTAAACTGGAGGATCGCTTCTTGCCTTCCAGAAGCCTCAGCGAACAGTGTTGCAGATCAGAATTGGACTCTTGCTTGGGAAGACACCCCAACAGGAGCCTGCGCTGAATGTCATATGTGGCAGAGGTTTTCAGGGTAAAGCTGTGGGTGTCACTTCTTTGATCAACCAACCCTTCCACACCAACGCTGAGTACCTATCCGTAGTGCTACCCAAATATGCACCAACACTCTGCCGATGTGGCCCGCCTTGGTGACTGTCCATTTTCAACTTCTCTGTTGCCAGTTCAGACCTCTCTGCTACATTGAATCGTGTTCGTTGAGATGGCAGTATTCGTGTCACCGGGGAACCGCTTCCGCAATTGTAGTGCGTCCGTGCCGGATCCGCCAGGTAATTTCAAATTTTTCGTCCCAAACGTTCATAGTTCCTGGACTGTTTGTGTGGAGACATAAGAGAGGCCTCTCTTGACTAGACAAGGTAGGCAAGCTTCTGGAAGACCGATCTATGAAGCCAACGAGGATCGTTCGTTGTGGTGTGTGTGTCGTTCGTGCCGGGTATGCTCCCCGAACGATAGACCAAGCAAGCCACGAGTCAAGCTTCTGATGGGATGGATGCCAAGATCCATCGCCTTCCGCCCGCCGCGCTCTCCAATGTTGATCTTTATCAAGATAGTAACTGCCGTGCCCAACCGCACCAGCTCTTGGGTACAGGTCTAAAAGGGTCCCTGATCAGGTGCCTCATTTCATCCATGAGTCGTAATAGTCTTGTCGTTGATTGCAAAGAGCCAGAGCCTCAATAATCTGACTCGAACAGGCTGACCCCTAACACTCTATCATGGCGACTTCTCAATCCGGGGAAGCATCTTACGCGGCGCGACGTCTCCAGAACCGCTGTCAGGCGGTTATTTCAGCCGCTCAATCAAACGATGGTATACCGGGTAAGTGTTCGTTGTAGCTCAGGTAACGTAGAGCCAACTATTGCAAATAGTAGCCTTTTTTACTTCATCTGAAAGAGGATGACATGCAGTGCCTTAGTAACAGGACGTTTGTCATACCTTACATTGTCAACATTTGTCTGCAGTGTGGTGGGAAGGTGTACTTGGTTTTCATCTCTAGGGAGCAGGTACCTTAGTGATAGAAAGGAAGGCAGCGTCTAAACTCGCTGTTTAGGGTAGCTTGAATTTAAACGTGTTTAGAGATTAACCGTTTTTGATAATGGTTTACTCCCCGTGCCATCAATTTGGTTCATTTGAACTTTGGAGTCTTCCATATAGAACTCAGCTATCTGTTTTGGGTGTATACGTCCTGTTTATTCTGGTCTATTGCATGGTTCGAAAGGTTGCGTTTATCTGGACTTGATAAGATAGTTGCGCGTAGGTATAACAAGCTACCTCAAAATATGGACGCCCTGATGTGCAATCATTAGGCCTTTTACAAGAACGCGATTATCGGATAATTGCCCGCCACTACATAGCGATGATACAAAGAGTGTTGCATAAGTGTGAAAACGAAGACATCGGTGTTGACGGA